CGTACAGACACTGACCGTACTGACAATGACCGTACCGACACTGACCGTACCGACATTGATCGTACTGACACTGACCGTACAGACACTGACCGTACTGACAATGACCGTACCGACACTGACCGTACCGACATTGATCGTACTGACACTGACCGTACAGACACTGACCGTACTGACAATGACCGTACCGACACTGACCGTACCGACATTGATCGTACTGACACTGACCGTACAGACACTGACCGTACTGACAATGACCGTACCGACACTGACCGTACCGACATTGATCGTACTGACACTGACCGTACAGACACTGACCGTACAGACACTGATCGTACCGACACTGACCGTACAGACACTGACCGTACAGACACTGATCGTACTGACACTGATCGTACCGACACTGACCGTACAGACACTGACCGTACAGACACTGATCGTACTGACACTGATCGTACTGACACTGATCGTACTGACACTATACTAAGCACTAGTGGAAAAGGGGCATAATCCACTGCATATCAGCCATAGTGTATCATAGAAGTTAATCTTGTATTTTTATCCATTTGGTCAAATCTTAAAAGAGTTTTAATATTTTTGATGGATCTCACGAGACACGTGTGCATGGCTCATGCATCGTGTGATTGGTCAGAACTTTGTGGGCRTGGTCATGTATAGAAGCAGGTGAACTGCTCTGCTGAAGATCAGCTGGACGAGGCCGTGGGAATATACAGCCATCTTTACAAATGTTCCAGCTACACTTTAAGATGGTCAGAGAACTCCTGGAAGGAAACAGCGTGGAGACACAGGCAGCTGTCAGGCAGCGTGGTGCAGTGTCAGGGGGGCGGGGCTTACCAGGAATTTTTGCTACAGATTCTCCTTAGAGAATAAAAGATCAGGTTTCAACATCTCATGAATTTTCAAGCTGTTAAAGCTGAAAATGAACAAAACTTGATTTGACAAAAAAGTAGTACTTATCAAATTTAGTAAAAATTTGTAATTTGAACATTCATACCTACTGTTTATAGAATGTGTCTATTTACTGGTGCTGTGGTGCTTTGAATGTATCGAAACGTGTAGTTTCTGTGGTTATCACCTGATTTTGTTGCTGCAGTGCAACATCTGTGCACATCTGAAGTTTTCAGACGAGCAGACATGAGTCTCCTCTGTCTATATGAGCTTCAAAGGAGCCCCTATAGGCGCTCCGGCACCGCAACAGGAAGCAGCTCGAGCTCATGGCGCTGCGGAGAGGAGAGTTAAACCTCTCTAACGTGTGTTTTCCAGCGCCGTCCCTCGTGGCTGCCAGAAATTTCCACCTGGTTTTACTGGAAGAGCTGTGGATTGTAGGGAAACCCCGTCTGAACATCTGAGATTTCTCTCAGATCGACTCAAAGCGACAAACGCTGTGATGCTCGCAGGATAACAAGCAGGAGAGAGCGGCCAGAGTTTCATTAATAAAACACACCCACAGAGCTAAACCTTATTTAATTACTGCCACATGTGCAGTTTGTTCAGATTGTACCCCTCAGGGATGCCAGCTTTAACCGTTTTTTCTTTTTAAATAGCAGCAGTTTTATCTGCAGTTTTCCTGAACATCATTACTGTGACCCGGGCCGACCCCAGGCAGCACCATTTCCTGGAGGTGGGTGTGACTCCTCTTCTGCAGCTAAATGTGTGTTTGTGTGCGTCACACTTCACAACAACAGACGAAAGAATGTAAATTTGGTAATTGTGTCCAAACCAACGGCAAAAAATCTAAACACTCAAACAAAACAAAAGGCAGAATTTGTCTCAGTTTGAAGCTTGAAGAAAAAAAARAAACGTTTTTCTTTTTCCCCTGAAGAAGGTTGGATTAAATAAATACACTCCAATTTAAAACTGGGATGACAGAACACAAATAAAACCAGAAGGCACTGATTTATAATCTATTTTATTACAGTTAAACAATAAACAATAAACAAATCAAAGGGCTGGAGAAAGATATTCTGCTTTTTTAAAGATTATTTTCAAGTTAATGGAAGAAATTTGTCTGAAAATATTTCAGGTTTTTCCAGTTCTACAGGACCTGAGACCAGTTCTACAGGACCTGAGACCAGTTCTACAGGACCTGAGACCAGTTCTACTGGACCTGAGTGGACCTGAGACCAGTCATAGAGGATCTGAGACCAGTTCTACTGGACCTGAGACCAGTCATAGAGGATCTGAGACCAGTTCTACTGGACCTGAGGAGACCATTTCTACTGGACCTGAGGAGACCATTTCTACTGGACCTGAGGAGACC